AGGTTGGGGGGGGAACGGGGCAACAAGCCAAAAGGAGAGATCACTAACAAAGTATAAAGAATAAAATAAAATTAGAAAAATAAAAGATTTATTAGGAAAAATAAGAATATAAAAGAATCAACAACAATGAATCAACAAGGTAAAACAGAGCCCCAATCTAAAAGAGGAAAAAGTAAAGGAAAAAAAAATAAAGAAAAAGCCTTGGCAATGGGTGCGGAGTTTAGCCGGGGGTAGGGGTTTGGGGGTGGGGGTGGGGTGGGGTGGAACTCAGGCAGGGGTGGGGTTTAGGCTGGGGTGGGACCTTTGCGGGTGGGGAGTTGACGTTTGAGAGTGGGGCAGGGCCTCTGCTAGGACCTGCTGCAGAAGGTAGAGGCAGCACATTGAAATGAGGGCCTCTAGAGGGTGGAGTTCTGGAGTTTGCAGGTAGGGCCCTGAGTGAGGGTGTGTGGGTGGGATGTAAGCCCAGCTCATTGGAGGGGGTCTCCGAGTGTAGAGGTGGGGCCCTGGGTGGGGGTGTAGGGGCGGGGCTTGGGTTCTGCACAGCAGGAGGGAGGCTCCGAGGGCAGAGGATTAGGCCCGGGAGCCCAACAGGCTTCCCCATGCCTGAGTGGACAGGGAAAGCACTGGCCCCGTTCCCTTCTGTTCCTTACGACCTGCCGTACCGTCTCCCCCAGTGTCTCCCCCGTCGCTGCTGGACCCCTAACCGTGGGTGAGTCCCACTGGGTGTAGGAACTCCTCCCCTCCCCCAGCTTCCCCTCAGGGGTCCCGGAGGTCCGACCTTTACTTTTGCTCCCCCTTCCCTCCCTCAGGACCTGCACAGCTGGAGGGAGCCTAGGTGGGCAGAGGATCAGGCCCCGGATCTCAACAGGTTCCTGGGGGTCCGAGTGGACAGGGGAAAGCTCGCCACGCTCCCTTTTGATCCTCTGCCCTCCCAGTGGTTCCCCAATTTCCCCCTTTGGGCGTGGGATCCCTTCCCCTCCCCCAGCCGCCCCTCAGGGGCGCCTGTCCCATCCCGCCTCCACTTCTCCTCCCCCTTCACTCCCCCCATGCCCCACGTCCTACCCGGTCGCTGGGGGTTCCTCCCATCCCCTTAGGTGTCCGTGGTCCCTCACCGGTGCCTGGTAGGTGCCCTAGTTGTGAGGAGACGTGAATTCCACATCCTCCTAATATGCCATCTTGATTCCGCCCCTAAAATTGTTTTTTATACATTACATTTTCATAAGATGATATTGTTCATACAGTGCTCACTGAATCATGGAGCAAATTTTCATTACTATTACCGTTGGGCTGCACTACGCAGCCCTGCAAGCCCTGTACTTAACCAGTTTCAAGACGGAAGAAAGGGCCCGGAGTCAGCAACAGAGACATCAGTGGTTTATTGGATGGGGGAGCTTAGACATCTGAAGCAAGGTCCTGGAGCGACACCCCTCCATGTGTGGGGGACAGTGGGAGGACATGGGGCAGTCTTTGCTCTGGGGACAGTGGGTTACCAATTATAGGGGGAATTGACATCAGGTTGGCTCATTGGTTACCAGGAAAACCAGCAGAGGAGCACGCCTCTCACTGCCCCTTTGATAAGCTATCACTGTGGCCAAAGTAACAGCGATTAGCTAAGGCCTGGGGCAAGTATGTGGGGAGGTTAGTCAGGTGAGTAGGGTGTAGGTGAAGCAGGCCTGGTCAAGCAGGGGATGTACAGAGACCAAGAGAACAGCCATCTTGGGTGGCCTGATCATACAGTTACTTTAAAAAAATACTCTTTATTGACTTATTGTAAGTTCCTATACTAGAAAATTTATAATATGAAATACTAGGTTTAGAGACAGAGATACAGCAGACTATAGTGTAGAAAATCCTTTCTGTATCTCACATGATAGTGTATGGGAGGTAAAATCAATTTCCCTTTACCCTTCTGAGTTCTTGGGTGAGATCTCTACGACAAAAAACAGATGAACAAGAGAAAAAAAAGCCCAGAGGTTTATTAACACGAATCCTCATGTATGCATAGGAGATACCCAGAGAAAAATGAATAATTCTCAGAGGTGTCTTAGAACTTCAGCTTAAATACCATCTTCAGCTAAAGAGAAAAGAAAGGTGTGGGGAAACTAGCTACGGGGAGGTTACCAGGAAAAGAAAGATAAACAAACATAAGATTTGTTATGCAGATTTAAGTCCCTGCCTTCTTTATTGATAAGGGACTAAACTTGTCTCAGAGTATTCATTTCTGTCCTTGGTAGAGAGGGGAAGAGGGACCCTTTGGTCCTGTTGTTAGGCAATTGGCGAGTAGAGAGCTTTTCTTGTATCTGTTTCTTCTCAGTTGCCTTCAGTTTAAAATAATCCTTATGCCAAAGTGGCATATTTTGGGGTGGCATATTCTGCTACCTTTCAGTAGGAACTTCCCTGCGTAGTTCTTTCTCTAAGAAAGAGACACATTGCCTAGAACTTCAAAGGATCAGATATTTTATCCTACTTGCAAGCTAACAAGTAGCCTGCCACAATTTCATAGAAGTTGACAGAAGGCATGAGATTCCTCTGTCAGAGACAAAGAACTTTGTTACTTACAGCACAGGCAGCATGAGCTTCAGGTTCTCATGCATTCCTTTTGCTCCCAAGTTCCACTGAGTGAAATGGAGCTCCTAGGTGGGTGATGCAGAAGCAGTGGGTTTGAATCAGCATGAAGGAACTCTAAGCTTAGGAAAGTCCTGCTAGCAAACCTAAGCAAACTTTGCCCTGGAAGGAGAAATTAGCTTTGCTATCTTGCAGCAAATCTTCTCTCTGCCCTTGAGGAAAATACAATCCCTATCTTGAAACCACATGTGTAGAAATGCAAGGAACCCATGGAGTTTTGAAAAAAATGTAATGCATCGGTAAGGCTAGTATGATGAAAAGAAGAGGCACAAAAATTCTGACCAGAGATTTAGACTAAGATTGTAAATGTAAAACACTTGATCCTCTCTGAGTATTTCTTTGAATACGCAGTTAATCAATTAGAATAAAACTTCGCAATGATTTGTTTTGCTTTGTAATGCTTTATCACTTGATGCTTTAATGAGTCAAATGTTCTTTCCTCTTATCAAATAGGTTTTACCATCCCCCTTTATTTATTTATGCCAATAATTTAACCTCACTGGCTAAAGTATTTCTTATTGTGTTAGGGGGAACCAATGCACATTTTGTCAAGAGTGGCTTGTACCTTAGCAATCTTCCTTTCTATCTCTTCCTGAGAAAATTAGGTTTCACAAAGTTCAACAGGTTCCTCCTCTGTAATGTAACTGACCAACAGTTACTCAGCTTTGCAAGGTTGATTTCCTCTGCTAATAGATGACACTTTCTTCCACATCCTTATTTTTAAGAAACATTTTAGTAGTTGTCTTATTCTTCAGAGATAACTCAAAATAATATCATTATGGTCTTTTTGTTTGTTTTTAAACTAAGTCTACAGCTGTCCGGTCACTGTGTGTGTCCTGTCCTTTTCAAGCTGGAGCTACAAAATTCATTTGAGCTCCAGAGAAAAGCAGAACTGTCAATGACTATTACTTAATAAATCAAAGTAATTGAGCGTTTAACTTTGCACCGAGTGATTAAAAACCAAGCTGTTCCTCGGTGGATATTGTAAGGCCAACTGGCCCGAGGCAGGGGAACACAATCAGATTCACAGGTTGCATCAGACCGAAATTCTCCGGACCACCCAGTTCCAGAAACTGCCCTGGAGACATTCCGGACCACCCAGTTCCAGGAACTGACCTGGGGACTTTGAACCCAGCCCAGCCTTCCCGCCTTTCGAGGGGCGGGACTAACGGTGCCCCAGGATACCCAAAAAGACCACCAAATAAGGAATACCCTGCGCCCTCCCAGATTCACCACACCCCTTTCCCTTCTTCCCCTATAAAATCTTGCCCAACCCTCGCCCGGGTGCGACTTCTCTGGCCCCTTTCTCTCGGACTAGTGAACCTCGCCCGCGAGCGCTCCCTAATAAAGCTCACTTGAAGCTTTCCTCTGTTTCGCGGTGCCGTTTGTTAAGATCCGACCTTACAGATAGAATTAGGAGGCACAACTTAAAGAGTTTGCCCAAATGTTGAGTCATTTGTCGGGTTGCCAGATAATATATAGGATGCCTTGTATATTATCAGCGTGTAAACAGCGAATAATTTTTTTGCTGTAAGTGTATGATCCATGCAATGTTTGGGACATACTCATATTTTAAAAATTTCATTTTTTTTTTTAGAATAAAATTTAACTAGGGCTTCCCTGGTGGCGCAGTGGTTGAGAGTCCGCCTGCCGATGCAGGGGACACGGGTTCGTGCCCCGATCCGGGAGGATCCCACATGCCGCGGAGTTTCTGGGTGCGTGAGCCATGGCCGCTGGGCCTGCGCGTCCGGAGCCTGTGCTCCGCGGCGGGAGAGGCCACAGCAGTGAGAGGCCCGCGTACCGCGCAAAAAAAAAAAAAAAAAATTTAACTGGACATCCTGTATTTTTATTTGCTAAATCTGGCAACTTGTGGTCACCATTTATCTAACAAACTATAATAACCTTTTGGTAAAACTTGGTGTCAAGAGAGTTTTAGCTCAGAAGCACTACCTTTGGAGTAGAGGTCAAGGTTTCATAGTTTTGATGATGTGACATCAACGCTACGGAAAAATAGATTTAAGTAACTCTTCAAGTTTTGAAATTCATAGATATGTATTCGGTAGCCCAGCTTCAAAAGAGTGGAGGTTAAAAGAAGTCATGCACTTGCTGGTCTGGGTTTCTAAGGAGAAAAGAAACCGACCTACAGAGCCTTTCCAAAGAGGGTGGAAGTTACTGTTGCAAAGGGTTCTCGGTTTAGCGAGGAGAGAGCGCAAGACCCGAGCGAGTCAATAAAAGAGGAGTAGGAAAAGGCTGGCCGCGTGAAGCCAATCAGAGACGAGATGGATGGGACTGGCCTCGGGGGAGGGGCGGGCTTAGGTACTATAGGCTCCGAAGGGCCGGTCCCAGCCAATCATAGCTGAGTAGGGCAGAGCTGGACGCCGGGGGGGTTGGTCTCGAGGAAGTGAACGGCGCGGCCGGCGAGTCCGGCAACCTCACCTTCACCTGCAGCTGTACCTCCGCTTTTCTCCCAGCCTGGCGGACGCTGACTCGGAGGGTGACAGTTGACGTTCGCAAGACTGTCATGGCCTACCCGCGATACGGAGGAGGGGTGAGTCCTGGCCGCTTCGGCGCGGCCTCTGCCTCCGCGGGGTGTGGCGCTCCGGCGGGCGGTGCCAACGTGCCGGATCCGCCTTCGGTCGGTCCCTGCTAACTTCGCCCGCCTCTGGTACTCGGCGGCGCCGGGACTTCGCGCCGTGTAGGAAACCGGGGCTGGGGCCGAGCGGGGAGCCGCAGGTGTTCTGGTCCCTGAGGAACCCTTAGACGAGTCCTTGTGGAGCCAAGGGTGTGGAGTGTTTTTAGAAATTTCTTCCCTGGAATGGAGGAACAAAGCATCCTTTTTCTTGTTCCAGTAATCTTTTGTGGTCCGCCCTCCGTCCAATCCTCCTAACCCCCTCCTCCCCGGTTTTGCTACACATCCTTTTCCTGAATTTTTTGACCACTTCTTTTCTGTTCTCTATATTGCTTATGAATAAATTAAGGTATGCTAAATGTCTCCTAATGTTTACTATTCTACCAAGGACAGTGTTCTTCTAGACTTTTGGGGCGGGGATGGGGGAGTGGGGAGGTGGAGAAGATTATACTTTCTTACATAACTGTTTATCCTGCATCACTTTTGGGAGTTGGGAGTTGTGACTGTAGTATCCATTATGGTAACAGGAAATAAAACAAAATTTAAAATTTCAGTTTACATACATATTTTTATTTTAGGTAAGTGTTATAGTGTGATCAGTATTTTCAAGCATAATGATATTTTAAGCATAGAAAGCTTATACAGATGAGGAAGAAATAGAATAAAAAATAAGTTCCAAGAATAAAAGGAAAAAGGTAAAATTTCTGAATGTTCCAGAAGAGCCTTTTCATTTCTCTTAAAAAAAAAAAAAATGGGTAGGAGCAAGTATCAGGTCATTATAGTATGTAGATAGCAACGGATACTTTCCAAAGAGTGATGTAAGACATCATTTGTGAATGTCAAGATTTACAGTGTATTAGGCATTGCTTAATGCCTAATACATTTGACTTAAGAACGTCAAATGTCAACATAAACTGTGGGGAAAAGTATATAACTTTTCAACATTGTTTTAGGGATAGGGAAGCAAATGTTTGAAGAACACTGACATAAGGTACAGCTGGTATCCTGAGGTATGAAGTGGAGTTCTATGCAGCCTGTTGTGACTTATTACACAGTTTATATGTGCAGAATTCTCCAGGGTTACAGATTATATGATCTAGTTTAACCAAAGTAACCCTCACAAAATGGACAAGTAGTTGAAAATTTCTGGGACAAAACTAGGGATCAAAGATAATACTAAAGATTCAAAAGTGTGCAAAACTACATGAAAATGACATTGCTGACACAAGTCCAAGGTTTTCTTCAGTCGCATTACCAGGTCATGACAATGATGACCTAATGATCAGTTTTGATTCATTTGAAACTATTGGGAAGACAACTTGAAATATGAATTTATTATAAACTACTTTTCAGGGTTTACTTTGTAGGCTAGGGGTCTGAGTTTCCCTCCATGTGGGCCCTTCCACATGGGTCTTGAGCTTCTTCATGCTGGCCATGTTCTAAGAGAGAAACTAAAGCTGCCTGTCCTCTTAAAGTCTTAAGCCTGGAATGCATGTGGTGCAGTTTCTACCAGATAAAGCTGAAACAGGCCCAGCCCAGATTCAAGGGAGTAGAGAAAGTCTTTGCCTTTGCAGCGAAAAGGTTGCAAAGAATTTGCAACCATCTTTAATCTGGCCTCCACCAGGCTCTGACATTTTTGGATTTTGGAGAAGTTAATATTGCGAGACAGGAAGGAAAGGTAGATAGAAGGTTATTCCTAAGGCCAGGTTCTTCATATAATACTGCTTGCCTGACTTTGATTAAAAAACAAGTATGCTGAACCCTCCAGGCACACATGGAGATGCCACAGTAGAGGGTCTATAGCCAGTCTCCTGGCACCACCTCAACATGAGCTTTTTGCTAATAGGCTTATATTTAGTTTGGCCTCTCTTCCTAGAAAAAAGTTTTTTCAGTTTTCCTTCTGTGAAGGTTAAGGTGTGAGGGTCTCCAGTAAGCCTTAATTTCTTGGATATGCCCCAGGCCTTGATTGCCCTCCACGTCCTTGGAGGCCTTGGAACCAAAGTCTAGGTGTTTGTTTTTTGCCTCAGAGCAAAAGCTGCTTTGGGAATTTTGCTAATCCTTTTACCTCTGGGTCTAGACTTGTCCCCCAGTATTGGCCTGGAAGTTTCCCCGTATGAGTGAGGAAATTTTACCTTTTTCCTTTAATATTAAAAAATAATATTTTATGAAAATTTTTTTTGTGTGTGTGAAGATTGAGCTTATCCTAGTTACCCTTATTAGAAATAGGAGGTTTTTTTTCCTTGGATCAATATTTGTAATTTATAGACTTTAGATACTTTTAGAAGGCCCATTTCATTTACATTTTTTTTTTAATTTTTAAACTTTATTTATTTATTTTATTTTTGGCTGTGTTGGGTCTTCATTGCTGCGCGCGGGCTTTCTCTAGTTGGGGAGAGCCGGGGCTACTCTTCATTGCGTGCGTGGGCTTCTCACTGCGGTGGCTTCTCTTGTTGTGGAGCATGGGCTCTAGGCACGCGGGCTTCAGTAGTTGTGGCTCGTGGCTCGCAGACTCTAGAGTGCAGGCTCAGTAGTTGTGACACACGGGCTTAGTTGCTCTGCGGCATGTGGGATCTTCCCGGACCAGGGCTCGAACCCATGGCCCTTGCATTGGCAGGCGGATTCTTAACCAGTGCGCCACGAGGGAAGCCCCTACATTTTCAAATGTATTGGTAAAGAGGTGTTCATAAGCATTTGTTAATATGTATTTTTTAATTTGAATTCTCTTTGTGGTTATATACACTTCTCTTTTTTATTCCAGAAACTGGCCTGTCCTTTGACAGTCTGTCTCTTTTCAAAGAATAACTTTTAAACAGTTACTTTTTTTCAAAATTCATTATATTGTTTTAATGTTTATTGTTCCCTTTCTTATACTTCATTGCTTCATAATCTAGTTTTTGATCCTTGAACACATTTCCTGGAGCTCCCATACTTTCTGCATACCTTTTGCCTTTACCATATCCCATGCTGCAGCTTTTCAAACTGCCACTAAAGGCTCCTACCTTTTGCCTTTTTCCCCCTCTTAGAATTCTTTTCTCTTTTTGCCCATCAATCTCTGCTTATTCTTCAAAGATGCAGATCAAGATTTTTGTTCCAAATGGAATAATGAACAATCTTGATACTTATTCCTCCTCCAGACTCATTAAAAATAGTGAGCAAAATATCTCTCTAAGATATAAAAAAATGTATACCAAGTTCCAAAGTGAAAAGAAGACAGTAACCAGAGCCATAGCAGGAAACAAACAGTATGTAGTCTCTGGGGTCAGCTTTATATTTGAATCATGATCTACTTCTTACTAGCCATTTGACCTTAACTAATTCAGGAAACCTCTTGAAGTTTCACATCCTCAACTGAAAAGAGGATAGTACTTTCATATCTCACTGAGTTGTTGGGAAATCAAATCGCATGGTAGATGGAAAGTAGTTAGAACAGTGCCTGCAGTATAAAAAGCTCTCAATAAACATTAGCTGAGTATTATTATTGTTGGTATTCTCGTTGTTGTTGTTCTTATTCTTATCAGTTTTGAAGAGGACTATTGTTGGAATTATCACTTTATTGTTCTGTTCATTGATATCTTGCTTTTTAAACAATAAATATTTTCTAGTGGAGGGGATGTTTCAGCCCTATGCATCTTCCCATGATTCATTCACAGCTCTGTTGTATTGTATTTACCATGTGTTCTATGTATGTGTCTTTAGGTATACTACTTCTTAGTTTTACTCTAGGTGAAATTTTCTTGTATTTTTTACTTTTTGCTTGTATTTTTTACTTTTTTAAAGTGTGCCTCATTCTTAGAGGCTAGAGACTTTTTTCTTTAACACTTTAAAACATGTTGGATAACATTTGTTGATGAGCTGAATTAAGTAATACAGGGCATCTCGCAGTTTGTAGCTAACAGCTTTTGTGATAATTTGGGAGCTTTCAGTAACTCGAGTTTTGCTTTTCAATGGACTTCTCATAAGTATTTTCTTTTAAACCAACTTCAGTGGATAATGGGTAATATTTGTATTAATAACCTTCTCCTTTTTCACTCTTGTAGCTTGGAAATTTTAGCAATCAGATGCAAATGGGACAGCCAATGCCAGGAACAGGGCCAGCTGTGCTCCCTGGTGGATACCCTGCATACCCAGCTTATCCGGACAGTTATTCCTCAGCGGGAGACCCCATGTGGACATACTTCACTGCTGTTGCTGACCAGGTAAAATCCTAAATATATAGCACAAATATCAGTTTTAAAAACTGATTGCAACTTAAAACAAATGTCAGCTCTTTTATTTAGTGTGTCATTTTAAATGTATATGAAACTTGCATTTTAAACTTATCTAGACTCATTTTCTTCTTGAGATCAGAGATGAGGGTAGTCATAATTATCTCATTAAAAAGTCTGTTAGTTTGATGTCTGACACGTTAGGAGTAACCAGGGTGGTGCGTGGAGACTGAGCCAGATAGGATCTGGGAAAAAGAGATCTGTATGTAAATCTCCTTGAGGAAGCTGGGGCAGAGTATCACAAAGGAGACTTGTAAATTATGGATGTTTCCGGGAGAGGCTTGATGATGGTAAAGCAAATCAGGAAAAGATAAAGGAAATAAGGCAGAACGAAGGGACAAATACCAGACTAATGAGCAGAGACAGAGATTCATACTTGGGTCTCAGTCACAGTCCATGTCTCTTTTCTTTTATAGTGGTCAAGAATGATTTATTGAGTGCATAGAATTTCATAGAAGTTTGATAACATTTTCCATTCATTATTCAATCACTTAAATGTTCACTAGGTCCCATATGCCTTTCTAGAAATAGAGGATATGCACAGAATTATTACATGTGGCAGACACTTTGTTTTGGCTACCCGAATTCCATTCAAAACCTCCTTTTCCCTTTTCACGTGTGGTAGCGGTTGGAAAGCCCTAATACCATCTCAGACACCTTTCTATAAAGGTAACCATGTGCCATAAGACTGGCCATTGAGATGTAGGTGTAATTTCTTTGGGATGCTTTCCTCTTCCAAATGAGGAACGCTTTCCTGGAACTAGTGTTGGCCCTTTCTCTGCCTTCATCCTACTGCCTGGAAAGGGGACTTGCAGTATGGAGGTGCTGCAGCCACATTGTGATCTTGAGGCAACAAGCTTGAGATAAAGGCCTATGGATGGGGAATGTGGAAACATGGAAAGAGATTGATGGCCGCATTAAGTTGCCACAGAGTCTTGTTCTGCATAGCCCCAGACTTCTTGTATAAAAACAATAAATATTGATTTGTTTAAGCCCCTTTTATAACATTTTCTAATTGTTTTGTAGTTAAATGCAATCCTAACTGTTGCATTATGCCACTCTTATCTGCAAGGAACTCTTAAGTATAATACTGGGAATAAGTATGTTATCTATAGCTGACTATATAATAAATCCATTTTATAAAATTACAACTTAAAACGTAAGAACCAGACATATATATTTAGAGACTTTTTTTGACTTAAGAACTATTTCATTGTAACAGTTGTCAACAATAATTTGCTATGATTGTACTATTTGATACTTTGCTTAAATTTTTCAGTCTTGTGCTTTTGAATAATTAAATTCCATAAGGACGTGGCCCTTGTCATATTGTCTCTTACCCAGGAGGCACTAGGATTATATTAGTCATTGAATGGATGCATAAACGATCTCATTTTCAATTTTTCATCCAAATATTTAGACAGTTCTCTTATATGATGAATTTTGTCTGGCCTTAAGGGTTCAAGTGTAGTATCAGATTTATACATTATGATCCTAGAACCTAGTTACCAAACTCACCTCTGCAGCTATATTCTTTTTTGATAGGCCTCATAATTAAAGATACTCTGAGAAATGTCCAATTAAAAGTTTCTGCAGTGTCCCTTTTTATAGGAGGATGTTTTCCTAACAGTAATGATTCAATCATCAATTGATTCAGGGAAATTCTGGTTAGTACGTTCATAAATACACACAGGCACACACACGTATACACACAGAAGTATCTTGATAATACCAACAACTTTAACTTCAGTGTGCACACTGCTTGCATTTTTCCGCACAGCAGCTCTGTGAGGTAGGTCAGATGGATGTGCTCTTTTATTATAGATGAGTAAGTAGAGATTAAGATTGATTAGCCTAACAAATAGGACTTGAACTTGAATATCATTTCAAAATCTTGCTGCCTATCAGTTAACCTAACCAAGGGCAATTGATTTTTTGTTAATTATCTATCTAAAGCTCTTAATATTTAATTAGAAAATGCAGTTTTCTACCCCTAATGATAGGTAATTTAGTTGAGGGTTTAGATAGCTGATCACAATCCTCAGCTCAAACTGCCTGTAAAGAGATCCAAAATGATCACTTGGATTTTCTCCTTATAATTTAGGAAGACACTGCTTGTTAGTTAATTCAGATAACATGTTTTTATAAAATGTATGAAATACGAGTATGAAGTAGTGTACCAGGATAATGCTTTCTGATAGTGGTAAATAACTTTCAGCAAAGCTATTCAGGTTATTAGAAAAACTCCAAAATTCTATAAAAACGCATGCAAAATAGAATTTCATTCGTTACTTAGGTTTTAGATTTTTAAATTTAATCCATACTTGAATGAGAAATTGTAATAGTTTCAACCTTTTGAAATAGTAAATGAATATGGCTACAAACTGTCAGAAATGACTACAGTTTAGTGAAGAACCAAAGGAATTATCTACATTCTACCAAACAGCTAACTTGCTTTGCACTAGATACTGGGCTAGGGTCTGGGGATGAAAGGTAAATGAAACTCAGATACTGACCTAGACGATCTCTGTCTAGTCAGGGAGATAGACCTGTGGGAAATGATAACGGTACAGGGAGAGGCGTGCTCAAGGTGAGTGAGTGAAAATGATAGCAACACCAAGAACATCCTCCGACCCTTATACTTGTTCTCTTTGCCTAGAACTGCACTGTCCAAATTAAATAGAGTGTGAGCCACAAACGCAAGCCACATGTGTAGTTCTCAAGCCTCCAAGTAATGCATTTTAAGGAGTAAAAAGAAATAGGTGAAATTAATTTTAATAGAATATTTTATCTAACCCAGTGTATCAAAAAAGATTAACATTTCAACATGTAATCATGTAAAACTTATTAATAAGATATTTTACTCTATGTCGTGGTTACTAAGTCTTGGAAATCTGGCGTGTATTTTACACTAACAGAACATCTCTGTTCAGACTAGGCACATTTAAGTGCTCGGTGGAATGTAGGGCTAGTGGCTTCTGTTTTGGACAACTCGGGCCTAGAGCACTCTCCCTCAGATGTCTGCATAGCTCGCTCCTTCACTTTCTTCAAATCTCTCTCAAAATTTGCCTGCTTTACCAAAAGGCTCTGCTTTACCATCTATGTCCATTGGCCTCCTCGCCGTACTCCACAACACTCCTTCTTAGCACCTTTACTCTGCTGTATTTTTTCCCTCAGCACTTACTACCATCAGATGTAATTTCTGCTTTACCGCCTCTCTCCCACCACTAAAATGTAACCTCTGTGAAGGCGAGGAATTTGTTTTGGACACGGCTTGGTACTTAGTCCATTTAATGGTGCTTGAACGTGTTAGGTTGTTCAATAGATATATGTTAAATGGATGAATTTCTTATTCTTTCTAAATGGAACATATCTGTTCATTTATTTCTCTGCATTTTCTTAGCATACTTGTTTTAATGATTGCTCTATAAAATTCTTTCATCCTGTATGAATTTGTTCTGAAATGGTTCATTCTTGTGGACTGTCTTTCTGAACATTAGATTTTTCCACATACTCTGGAATATTGGTTCCTTAAACTTACAGTGAGTGAAGTTTTTGTTTATTCTCCTCACCCCTCCCCTAACCTTTTGTCCCCTTCCACGTTTCCCTTCCTCTCCCTGTGTCACCCTTCCGTACCTAGTGGTTTTGTGATTTTCCCCACCTAGATTGTGTCCAGAATCAGACTTCACTGAAATATAAAATCCTTTGCCTTGAGTTAAGTTGTTCTAATAAATACTTGGGTTTATTTTCCAGAAACAAGCAGACTAAAATACAATAAATAAACCAATACATACTTTAATATCTTAAAAATGTAAAACCGTCAGGTAAATCTAACAGGCTTGATAGACCTAAACAGGGTCAATATCAAGAGACAAATGAAGTGAATGATGCAAGCACAGGGTCAGATCCTTTGTTTAAAAACTGGATATTTATTCACAGAATTTTTGCGTTAATTTTTTTAATATCGCATTAAAACATTACTGTGACTACTGAGTTTTCTTAAACTTCCTTATATTTAAAGGTTAGAGTCTCACTTGCCTGATAATGTTTATAATACTCCTTAGAAGTGTCTATAATACTTCTTAGAAGTAGTTTGTAAAAGTTTTGTTTTTTTCTTGGGTTCTTACAAATTACACGTTTTAAATTTGCCTCCTTAATCCTTTCTCAGAGCTGTTGTTTTGAATTTGTGACAGTGTATGTGATGCTTCCAAGTAAATTACTCTTTATTTTTGTAGAAAATAGGATGAGGTACTGAAACATAATGAGAGTATTCAACCTGTTTCACTTCCATTGTGGTTACTTGTTTGTGATAAAAAAATTTTTTTTCCCATAAGAAGGTCAAACAAGAATATTTGGACAAAAAATCAGAGGGGACTCTAAAACTTTGCTGAGGTTAATGCTGTGGAGGAAAAAGATATTTTCTCTTCCCAGTTAAAGATTCAGTATCCTTTAGAAATAATCTCCTCTCAAAATGGGCATGAAAGGAAAGTGTTTGAGACCTCTCTGAACGCATTTTAGGCATTTTTCTAACTATTTTAAGTACAGGTATAATGATTCTCACAAGGTACTACTTTGCACTGTTATAGGACAGAGTGATTATGCTATTTTTCAGAAGTAGAGAATATAACTTTTATTTGAAATACATGAATAATTTAATAGAATAAAATTTGATTGTGAAAAAAGTATTCATGTTGTGCGATGTTCTCTAATGTGCCTTTGCTGTCAATAATTATCTCTATAATTTTGTAGTTGATAATAGAGTAGTATTTTGAAGATTGCATATTTATTGATCGGCCTAGAACAGTTAGTTAGCATTTTAGTATGCTTTTATACAGCTGATTTTATTAATCAGGTTATAATTATTTTGTAACAGGATGGTGAAGTGGATGCTGAAGAACTTCAGAAATGTTTAACACAGTCTGGAATTAGTGGAACTTTTTCTCGTGAGATCTTTTTTTTCCTCTGTTAAAATTGGACTAGGAAATTCATTTTCTAACTTTTTTGTTTCCATACTTAAAATATTAAAAAAAATTTTTATCACAGATATACATGCACATAGTTCAAAGAACCAAATAATTCTGCAAAGCTTGTTGTGAAAATACTGTTCAGCATGCATTCCTCCCTCCCCAATGTTAACCACTCGCAGAGAAAATCTCTTTAAAGTTCTTCAGCTAATTCTTTTGAAATTTGCCTCCATATCTCAAAATAGCATGCCTTTATCACTATGGATTTTCACTTTTAATGATCATCAATTATTATGTCCTGCGGTGGGTGATGAGGATGTAACCCTCTCACCTGTGTCCCTGTACTCTACACAGGAGCTCCCTCGTCCATCTGCTGTTAAGTAATTTTCATTAGCTCACTAATCAGTATTTGCCTTATTGTTACTATCTAAATGCTCTTCCTGAGTCTTGTAATAATATATGATTAATTTTTCTTTTAATGTAACTTTTTGCTTTTTCTGAAATTAATCTTCATCCAGGAGCTTTCTGTTGTGCTTCGTTTTCTGTGCATAGCTGTCATGCTTGCACTCCTGGAGCCCTTTCTTCTCTCTCTTGAGTTGGATCTCCCCTTCATTCCATCCCTTGTTGTCATTTTAAATTCGATAAAATATATTGAATTAGCTTCTTAATAAAAGTGCATGGGAGGTAAATTTTTTGAGACTTTCTCTGAAAATTCTTTCATTCTATCCTCAGAATTAAGTGATTGGCCAGGTATAGAACTCCAGATTACAAATCATTTTGACTTAGAATTTTAAAGGTATTGCTCCATTGTTTCCAGCTTCCATTGTTGCTTTATCTTTTTGTTTCCTGCCTGTATGTCGTTTGTTATTACTGTGTGGAGGCTTGTGAGATCTTCTCTTTGTCCCTAGTCTGAAATGTCACAGTGCTGTGCCTGGTTGTGTGGGGAATGCAGTGGGCACTCCTAATCTGGAGACTCATTTGCATTAGTTCAGCGCTGTTTTCTCCATTTTCTCTTTCTGGAATGTGTCTTTGGACTGGGTCACTTTTCTTACCTTTTCTCTCCTACCTCTTATTTTCCTCTACTTTTGGGGAAATTTCCTCAACTTTATTTTCTTTTTCTTTTTTAACTATGGGACGCTTCACAGAACAAACTTGCGTGTCATCCTTGTGCAAGGGCCATGCTACTTTCTGTGTTGTTCCAATTTTAGTATATGTGCTGCTGAAGCGAGCACTCAACTTTATTTTCGAAACCTTCCATTGTGTCTTTCATTTCTCCTATCACGTTTTTAAAATCCAAGAGCCTTTGTTCTTTTTTCATGAATGCGATGTCTTTCCTTATCTCTCTGAGATTGTTAATGTATTTTTTTTTAAGCTTTTTTCTTCCTACATAACCTGCTTCCTCCAGTTTTTTTTTCCAGGTTGTTTGTTTGGCTGTCTTTCATGTTAGGTGCTTTTCTCAGGTGTCTGATGATCCTAGCTTGCTCATATTTAACTAAAATGCCAGTTAGAAGCCCTGAGAGCCAGGCTGGGTGTTGACTGTAGACTTCAGAGTCTGGTGGTTTGGCTGGGCAGTGTGTCCTCCAACACTGGGTATCAGGATCTTTCGGGATTTCCTTTGGGGCTGGTTGTCCAGTTGATCTTCTCTCTGGAGCGGAGGAGGGAGGACTCATCAGGGTTCTCAGTCTTTTGTAAATTGTCATTGAATTTCCTTGTTTTAGTAGATAGCCCTGTCCTCAGCTGTGCCTGGTTTCCTGCAGTGCACAGTCCCCTCCAGAGGATAAAACCCCAGATGTCTACTGGCGTGGGAGTAGACAGGGTAGCCATCCACGTAGCTGAAGCAAGGAGGGGATTTGGGGCTCTAAAGGCTCCTTAGACAGACATTCAATCAGTCCTTCGGTTTTTGTCTCTACATTCACACCCATTTTCAGAAGTACTGCCAGTTCTTAAACGTTTGGAGTCTCCTCCAAGATAACCAGGCTGCTTCTCAGGTTGTCTTATTGCAAGTTCAGGAAGCCACTTTCTCAGATCTAGGTTGTCAACGTAGGTCCACCTACTTTTCCAACTTGCAAAATTTTATTCCTTTGTTTCCTCTCTCATTCTCTTTTTCTCTAAAGGATTACAACTTCTAGAAATTCAGTTTAATTCTGTCCATTCTAATGGGGTGTGGGGAGAGAGGGAAAATCTGTCAACTTTCCTAAAAATTCTCTCCCTCCATTCTTCGTCAGATATTTAATCTTACATATACTTGGTCCTATTTTGAGATTGATTGAAGGTCTGCTTATTTGATGACTCAATTTTTGTCATTTATTATCATCTATTCAGATTCTCCCACTTAATGAATGTGTGCCATGTTAACTTTAAGGCAAAACAGTTGTCATTTACTTGACAACATGATGGAATGCCATTCCAGAGATTTCTCCCCCTTCTTGCCTGAGTAGTTTTCGTATGAAGGAGCACTGGGCTCCAATCCTGACTCTTCCACCTGTTAGCTAGTGAACGTGGGAAACTTTATCTTTCTGGGCCACAGTTGCTTTATTTGTAAAATTGGGGCTAGGATAGGTTTGGCATGTTTATGTGAAATCAAAAACACACACTACCTGGCTCATAGTAAATGCTATTCACTGTCAGTTGAATTGTCAGTCTGAAAATACTGTAACCACCTATTCTAACATTGACACCAAACATGCAAAGAAAGTGCTTTTAACTTTTGGATTGTTTTATAATTTTCTTTAATGGGTCTAAAATTTAGCTGAAATAGTTTTTTTCTTTATAAAAATTTCAAAATATTTTATCAAATAGCATAAAGTAAAATAATTTTAAGCATTTTTATTTATTCATTCATTTATTTTAACGAGCTACTAGTAAGAACTTTGTAAACTTGACTCTACTGACATATCTCCTTTATCAGGACTATGTGTAATTAGTCTTGAGATAAATCAGCATGCTAGTTGAATGTAATTGTGATAAGGTTTAGAAAAATTAAATTCTGCCTAGTGAGTCCTCAGTTATAGTTCTTTAAATATGAAGGTGTATTTCTAATAACCCCTGATTTTAAGATAGCAAACTATCTTGTTATCTTTATTTCTTCTTCTTTTCTTTTCCCCTCCCCTGAGAAAAAAACAGTGCTTTCAGCTCTGAAGCTCATCTTTTTCTTACTTGGTTGATTGCAGTAAACTACCAGATGGTTTACCTACATCCAGATCCATCTTACTTGTCCATCTTACTTTACTCTCTAGTATGTTCTTTGTCAATTACTGTTTCTGAAATGGAAATTTTAGAATTGCCCCTCTGTTCCTTAAAATCCTTTAGTAACTTCCATTGGTCTAAAACTTTAGGGTGGCATTCAAGACTTTCATGACCTGGTCCTCATCTGGCTTTCTGAAGTCATTCTATGCATATGCCTCTCCTTCCCATATACCCCAAGCTTTAACCAAATCTCTAACACTTTCAAGTTTTGTGATCTCAGCATATGACAACTTCTACTTAAACCTGACTTGGCATTTGTGTTAGGAAGACTGAAGCCCTCCTTTTCACTTGTTTAATTTTCAGTATTTTATAATTGCTTATTTAATTACCGAAATCTCCTTACTAGATGTGAGTAGTATGAAGGTAGTAATTTTTATTTTAGTCTCTCTTTTATTTTATTTTTTTTACTATGCATGCCTAACAAAGTTTGTTCATTGGGTGATTGTGTATGTTTGGCAATGTGTAAATGTTTTGTTTTGAAAACAGAAATTGTTGTAATTTTATATAAATAAAATCGGGCAGAATTTAATTCAAATAATAAATATGTTTTATAGCCTTCAGTTTGGAAACCTGCAGAATTATGATTGCCATGTTGGATGTATCCTTGACTAAAAATAGAAAATATTGGAATATAGAATATTAAGGCAACTGTTAGATATAAATGATCATAGTAAACTAGAGAGTTTAACAATACTTTGTAACATCCTGTTTGAATTCCATTCTTTTCCATTTTTACACAGAAATCTATTTATATGCTAAATTTGGCTAACTCTTGCAGAAGTGAACTTAGCAAGTTTTTAGTCAATTATTTGGAGTTTTGGGTCCGGGGAGATTCTTTGGTATCAAAACTTATTTTTGTTAATAAAACTATCAGAGAGATTACACAGGAAAAATGGGATTTAATGAATTCAAAGAACTTTGGGCAGCTCTTAATGCCTGGAAGCAAAATTTCATAACTGTTGATAAAGACGGAAGTGGCACAGTAGAGCGTCATGAATTGAATCAAGCCATTGCTGCTATGGGTAAGAATATTAAATTCTTTAGAATCGATCCAGGTCATCTTTGTTCAGATGAATATTAATTGTTTAAATTTGCTAAGTAATAAAAGGGTATATTATTTCACCAGCTGTTGTCCAATTTGATTTCAAGGTTATAGATACATTCTGATTTAAGACCTTTAACAAAACCATTTTATTTCTGAGTTTTCCAAAGATGATATTTCATACAGTCTGGTTGATAAAACAATTTCTGAATTTCCTTTGTTGAGTATACTTAAATTTATTCTAATTGTTTGTACTCACTTACCATTTATATTGTATTCTTTTGTAACTTGGTAAGATCTCTAATTTGACAGCAAAGCCTTATCTCAATTACAGGTCTCCATACATAGTCTAGCTTTCTAGCAGTAAAACCTGTTTTTCTGGTTTTTCATCTTTTTTTTATGTAGTGTAGAACACACAGCAGACACCGGAAAACCTCAAAATGGGAAGTCTACATTTTAGAATATCTTAAAAGACTGTAAATTTATTTTTAGCATATCTCTGATAAGCTGAGGTTCTCAGTCTATTTTCTTTCAAAAAGTGATAATATAAATGGGGTTTAACTTGTTTACAGTTAATGCAATTTTAAGTAGTTTTCTTAATTGTATTTACTTTCGTGATTTTATTTACACTCATTTTTAAACAAAATTCTTTTGTAACAGAACTTTTTGAAAGATTTTATTTAACTTTCAGAAATCTGAACCAAGTGCAAATTACCTCAAATTCCAATTTAAAGTCAAAGCCATGATTAGTTTCGTTGTATCAATAGATGTTTTAATAGATGGTCATTTTAGGGACAGTCCTGGCCATATAAACATGTATAGTTCAACTATAGAGTCTTAATTCCTAATGAATTAAACTTGGTTCTTAATTCAGCACAGTGTTGGAAAATTAATATAACCAATTGCAAAAAAGAAAACCACCGAAGAGTTCACATAGGCAGTTGAGTGTAACAAAGAGGTATTCTGTATTTTTCAAATTTAAGGTCTTCAGATATATTTTAAGATATTCAAATTATTTTTGCTGAGAATGCTATGGAAAATCTTATGAATTTTATCAGTCCCACATCCAGATCATAATTCTCTAATAGAAAGCTCAGGGCTTATTTGCATATAATTACATTAGTTTGCATATATGACTTCTATTAATTTATACCTTTCATTTACTTTTAGCAAGTTTCCTGGATTGTATTTCATTATAGCTACGCATAGAATTATCTTCTGTTGCATTTGTTTTTATTATTTTTCCCTTTGACTGGATTAATGTCTTTTGTCTAAATCTACTAATCCATTAATATATAAAGACAATAATTCTAGGCCAGCATTCTTCACAGTAAAGTGTACACATTCATTAAATACATAAGACAATCTCTAGGGGTGCAACAAGTGGAATATATTAATTTATATTTTTAATTACTTTTATTCCATTCTTTTTAAATTTTAGTTTTATATATACTTTAAAATGTAAATAATCAAATAGTAATTCATGTATAGAATTTAAAACTAAATGAATACACATATAATGGGAGTGAGTGATCCAAAACTTTTTACTCATAGAAGTACACATTCAAAAACTTTTGGAATCCACTGGGCTAGACAATAAAGAACCAAGTAAATAGTAAGAAGACTGTGGTTAAGATGAAAATCTGTGAAGAAACAGAATAAGGGTTATAGGACAAAATGGAATAACATTTTCCTATTTCTCCCCCCTCTGAGTAATAACCATGTTGATTCTCAAATTTTCTTTGACTATAAAAGACACTTGTAAGCAATATAGTCAATGGGAAATATAGGTTTGAATGATAGCAAAGATCACTAATAACCTTTGCTTTGATTTTCTTTTTTTTAATAGATTTGTTTTATTTATTTATTTATTTATGGCTGTGTTGGGTCTTTGTTGCTGTGCACGGGCTTTCTCTAGTTGCAGCGAGTGGGGGTGCTCTTCATTGCAGTGTGCAAGCTTCTCATTGTGGTGGCTTCCCTTGTTGTGGAGCACGGGCTCTAGGCATATGGGCTTCAGTAGTTGTGGCTCGCGGGCTCTAGAGCGCAGGCTCAGTAGTTGTGGTGCACAGGCTTAGTTGCTCTGTGACATGTGAGATCTTCCTGGGCCAGGGCTCGAACCTGTGTCCCCTGCACTGGCAGGCAGATTCTTAACCACTGCACCATCAGAGAAGCCCTCAATTTCATTCCCTTTTATGGCTGAGTAATATTCCATTGTATATATATATATATATATATATGTACCACATTTTCTGTATCCATTCATCTGTTGATGGACAATTAGGCTGCTTACATGACATGGCTATCGTACATAGTGCTGCAGTGAACACTGGGGTATCATTCCTTTTTATGGCTGAGTAATATTCCATTGTATATGTACCACATTTTCTGTATCCAGTCATCTATCGTTGGACGTTTAGGTTGTTTACACGTCCTGACTATTGTAAATAGTGCTGCAATGCATATTGGGGTACATGTGTCCTTTGAGTTATGGTTTTCTCAGGGTATAGTAGTGGGATTGCTGGGTCATGTAGTAGTTCTATTTTTAGTTTTTTAGTGAATCTCCATACTGTTCTCCATAGTGGCTGTATCAATTTACATTACCACCAACAGTGCAAGAGGGTTCCCTTTTCACCACACCCTCTCCAGCATTTATTGTTTGTAGATTTTTTGATGATTGCCATTCCAAAGCAATCTACAGATTCAATGCAATTCCTATCAAATTACCAATGGCATTCTTCACAGAATTAGAACAAAAAATTTTACAATTTGTATGGAAACACAAAAGGCCCCGAATAGCGAAAGCAATCTTGACAAAGAAAAATGGAGCTGGAGGAATCAGCCTCCCCGACTTTATACTACAAAGCTACAGTAATCAAGACAGTATGGTACTGGCACAAAAACAGAAATATAGTTCAATGGTACAGGATAGAAAGCCCAGAGATAAACCCACACACATATGGTCACCTAATTTATGACAAAGGAGGCAAGAACATACAATGGAGAAAAGACAGCCTCTTTAATAAGTGGTGCTGGGAAAACTGGACAGCTACCTCCAGTCCTCCCAGAAACACCCAGAGCTCTGATATTCTTTAAAGAACTATAAAATTACAGGGTTGAAATATTGATGCATTAAAAAAACCTGTGACATACACTAGACCTTATTTCAAAATCAAAATATATTTTAAAGACACAAAAAGATAATTATTTTCTTTTTCCTAGCTATCACTTTTTTACAAAGCTAGAATTGTGAGAATTATGTACCACTTCACTATTAGTAATGAAACCTTTGATCAGTTTCAATTGGAATGTGTTTTGTTTCTAATGTATATTTTTATGTAATGAATTTTGAATGTTAATTTGTTTTATGACTTTATTAACAAGAATGCATTGTTCGTTGTGTTCTTTTGATGTTTAGTTTTGGAAGTTTTAATCTAGCAATCCCTTTTTCTAGGTTATAGGTTGAGTCCTCAAACATTAACTGCTATTGTTAAACGTTATAGCAAGAATGGCAGAATTTTCTTTGATGATTATGTTGCTTGCTGTGTGAAGCTTCGAGCATTGACAGGTATGGACCATTTATGGGTACAGTATCATGTAGCTTTTTTCTTGAATGGTGTCCCTCACTTTCTTCAGCAAGTTGATGGTATTATGTATTTTCCCCCTTTATTCACTATTAAATCTAATCAGAGCTTTAAGGCTTTAAAAATGTAGGATTATAAATAGTGAAAAATTGTTATAGCTCAGTTTTGGAAAGTTTTCTTCATATCTCAGTTGCCTGGGACATAAAATCACTTAAGATTTACTTGAGTATAAAATTATTCATTTTTTAGTACCTGGGGACACCAAGTATTTAAAACTATAGATTTTAAATTATAACAGAAAAAGTAATTTTTTTGTTTAAAGATTTCTTTAGGAGAAGAGACCACTTGCGACAAGGGGTTGTGAGTTTCATATATGATGATGTAAGTATCCTGTATTACGCTTTTGATATTTATACTGTGTTCTGTATATGTTTACAGTTGTCAAAAAATTTAAGTGATCTCTGGTTTCAGTACTGGAAATAATATATTTTAGAGACCATATTCTTTATGTTTTTCAGCTTAACGCAAATGTAAGATTCAATCGTGGTAGAAATACCAATTTGACTTTATAGTAAACATAAAAATACTTTTAAATTTTATGACAGACTTTTGGCAGTTTATGTTCCAAATCATTTTTAAGGGCAAAACTACCATTGCTTTTATAAAGAGTAATTTACTTGTGATGGTCTTTCTTCTAAGAGAGATAGGAAATTTTCATCTATGATAGGTAATGGAACTGTTCATTTCTCATTTCAGATGGTTCCTATTAACCTGATTCCAAGTTTGTTTTGTTTTTAGCTGAAGGAGAGGTTATATTTCACATGTTCTTTAGTGTTTCAAGGTTTTGTTTTATTTTTGTTATGTAGGAATTATAGGGTCAACTTTACCCTACTAGTATAATACTGGTTTGAGTTACAAGGCTTAGAAACTCAAAATTTCTCCTGTCGTGAAAATGCTTCTGTAGAATATAATTAATCAAAACCAAAACCATTTTGTTGTTACCAGCTGGTGATTTTGCTTATGTATTAGTTTTTGCAGGGCACTATGGCAATTTGATAGTCTAGAATTTGAAGGCTGAAGAAATACTGTGAATTTCTCTGCTTGGAAGAAATGAACTGAACTACTTTGAATTAAAGCTTTTGGGGCTTTTCCATGTTCCTGTCTGTTAAATCTCTTCTCTTTCTATGTGTTTTTACTTTAGCTCACCATGCAAAACAGTAAAAGAGATGTTTTTGTAATATTTATATAAATTTATAACTTTAGGGATATCTGCATAATAAATATTGGTATATGATTAAGTGATATAAATACCTCTTAGTTTTAATTTTCTTTCTTACTTACAAGATAGATTATACAAGAAGCCAAATGATGAAAGCCTAGATAAAACTAATTTATACTTACCTGAAGGTTATAAATTATACTTGGAAATTTTGTTTGTAGTTGTTGGTATTTGAGGGTGAGCCAGAAGGGGAAGCCTAGATTTTGCACCATCTTTGTAATTGGGTTTGTTCTTTGATCACATAATCAGAGAACAGAAACTCATGAGTCTTTGCCTGTGAAGAAGAAAATTGTAGTTCCTAAAATTTTATCTTAAATCACCTTAGGTGAACCATAAATTAAACTATGGTGAAATAAAACTACAGGAGGCATTGTTTTTCCTTTTTAAATTTTTTGCACTATATATTTTTCTTCAATATGTTTTATTGTCTTCTGTGGAAAAAAATTCTTAATAAACATAACTTTTTTCTCTGCACTTTATAGGTAACCTAAAACGGCATCTTTTTCTAGATCTAGATTTTCTGGAAATGACGTATTTTTAATGAAATGTCAATATTTAAATTTGTCCTTTTAAACGAAATTGTTTATACATAATGCTGTTAACTGTTTAGAAAGTTTAAAAAACTCCAGTAATCTACCACTTTGTTTAAATGTTCAGAAATTATAAGTTTGACTTTCTTGACAACGTTAGCCAGTGATTTTGGCATTAGTAAACCAGTAAGTCTTTACCACTAGGTGTAATGTGGGTCCTAAGCATGGTAGGCATCATGGAAGCATTTTTGAGTGGTGTTACTACAAAAATTGCAAAGTGGAGTCACCAGGTCCTTAGCATTTAAGATTCCTGGTATAAGCTGCTGCAGTTAATCCAGTCCCTTTCTGGGCAAACACCCCAAAGTCTTTCTTAATGAAGTTTTAATAAACCACATATTTTTTTCTTACACTTTAACTGAATATCTTCCAGCTTAACGGTGCAAATGGCATAATCTTAATATGGCTCGTGACCAAATTAATAGTTTTTCATTTAAAAATTTTTCATTAAAAATGGAGGATGAATGGTAGTATCTTGAACAAAAACCTTTTATAAACTTTCACTTTAAAAAAATCCTAGAAAGGAAGTAATGTATATTCATGTTGATATTGATAATTTTATATAATTAGCTGTCAAATTCATTTGGTCAGCTTTATAAAAATGTGTGAATAAATAATCCATGTAATTTTGTCCTCTGGCTGTTAATTATTTTTTCATGAACATATATTTGATAATGTGAGAGAATGTTAACTGAGTCATAAAAGATATCGAATTCTAATTAGAAGTGTTGTAGGAAAAAGCTAATGTAAACACACTGTATATCATTCATGTTGAATAAGGGTGATACTATGACTCAGTAGCATGGAATCTTAACATCCGATTTATACAGGTGGTTGTTACTGTCCTATTCTGAGGTCAATTATAATTTTCCTTATTTGGATGCTCATAGTTGAGGTAGAACTTTTAAAATGGCTTGACATGACTCATATAAGTTTTGCCAAATGACACTTTGTGTTAGAACGTCTTCACACAATTCTCTAAGTCATCCTTTCCCAAAGGTGTTCCTATGACTTTTGGTCATAGGAGGTCTGTGAAGAAGGAGTTTCCATGACCAAATGTATTTGGGAAAGTCTCACCTTCCTCAGGGAGCTTAATAAAGCCTAAGGTACAGAAAAATCTCATTTAATTTTATTTGACCCAGTTTTTTCCGAACTTTTTTTTTTTTTTTTAACCACAGAACCCTTCCTCTTAGCAAAACTAATGTTCCATGCCAATCCAGCCCAGTTGTCAGACAGTTCTTTTGCACTTTACATTAGATAGATAATTACATAAACATTAGCCTTAGAGAATATATTACTAGGATTTTTTTGCTGAAATGCAATTCACATTTTTGATGCTTTAAAATAATTAGACAGACATCCATTACTAAGGTAAAAATTAAATAGTTTTACAGGGAGTATGACTGGAATATGAATATAGTTTGGTAGTTTGTACTGGTTAACTCATGCCCCAGTTTTCTTATGATGATGTAAATTATTGAATAATGTACACTCTTAATGTCTAAGTGCTTTTATTTATCCAATAAACATGTTTCCATGTCATTTTGAGAATTTTTTTAATAAACATTCAAATAGCTTGCTGTAAAGTTTTGCATCGTACAAAATCTGTTACATATATATTATGAGATGCTTCAGTTCAAATAACAGTGCAGTAATTCACCTATGCCTAAAAGACTGCCAAATGATTAAATGTCAGGAATTACACTTCTATTTCGAGTGGCAGTTTACACATTTTAAATTACATCAAGGGGAGATTAACACTATTGGAATCTTAATTTGGTCCACTTTAAATGTTATTTCAAGGACTGCGCTCAATTGATCTATCAAGCATGAATTCAGAAACAGAAAGTAATAAAAAAAAGTCAAGTGATATGTTTATTTCCAGAAAAGGCATTTACCCTGGAAGAAAGTAAAATTTATCAATGTAGTTAAAATTAAGAGCATAAAAAAATTAATTTGTGATGATTTCTTTAAATATACAAATCAAGTTCACCTGTTATGGCGTTACTAAACGACAAACAAAAGAAATACTATTTGTCAGAAGTGTGCTTTTCTTTGTCCTTTTATGTTTGACAGACTCATAAATGATATGTTTTCTTTGTAGCAGTTTTATGGGAAATTAATAGGAATAGATTTGTCAAAATCTGGTAAATTAAATCTAGTGAGTAAAATTCAGTACATTTTTCAGGTTAGCATATTTTTCTTTTAAACTTTAAAGTGCAACCATGGGTGTTTGATTACTTTGAAACTTGTATTAAAAGATCACATTTTTGTTGGTCTTAATCAAATCGTTTACATAGTAAATTAAGCATTTTGAAATAAATGTACAATGCTAAGTTATCATCTAAGAGTATATCTTGACTTCATAATAATATTAGATGATACAAAGAAAAAATAAATATTTAGAACTTCTGTTATAGTGATGAATGCAGGCAGGATTTTAAATGACTACTGTTCAGATAATTTGTAGTCTAGAATAAGATCAGAACATCACATATGTCCATATTGAATTCAAATTGTCCTGTAACTTAGAATTCTGAGCACAAAACTACTTGCCAGAAAACTGGGAAAGTTATGAAAAATGTCTCTGTCTCACTATCAGCTCAGTATTTGAATGCTGGGAAACCTGCGTTTTTGTTTCTTGCCATGTCTTTTTCTACTTATTTTAAAAAACATAAAGAAAAGAGCCTTATATTACTTAACATTCATTTTACCCATGTAGCTTGGTAATATGCAGCTTTGTGTATTACATTTTGAGCATTCAAAACTCAGATGTGCTTCTATATCTGAATATATAGTAAGTAGACCTTGGTGGCACTTCTATGCTACTATGATGTGCCACAGAGGGAATGAGTAGGCTCCTTGCCTATGTGCTACTTACGTTTTTAGGTGTGCCCCTTCTGCAACATCAGAGATGGTGGCAATTTGGAAATCTTACAGGGAGTGAGAAGAATTGGTCTAGGTCGTTTAATACCTATATTCAGAGACAAGTATGCCAGGAATTAGTACCCCTTCTGATACTGTGCGTGTGTGTGTGGGTGCAACCTTTTCCCATAAGCGTAAAAATATGAATATGTACTTTACAGATATACACATATAGTCATTTGCATTTTAGCTGACTGTATTTAATCACGTTTTATCTTGTTATGATTACTGAAATTGCAAAGGATAACCTGAACATTGCTAGTATGGATGTTCTAGAAACATACTAATTAAAGATCCATATTCTTTTGAAAATTATAGGCCATTTAAAAATGATTTTCGGATTAATTGAACTTGTGGATACATATTTAATTGCCCAAAGCTATCTAAATGCATTACCCCCAATTTATCTTAAGGCAAGAGACTAAGTTTTTAAATATTTTGCTTTTTCATACTTCGATTCTTATTTTCTAATCAGCTTCACTTGTAGATATCAATGCAGTGCTTTCTGCTCCTCTGATTTCATTTTTTATTTATCCAGTAGGGAATGTTCTCTTGGTTTTTTAAACGTTAAAAATGAATGGTAGGTATTCTCAACCTTAAACAGGCTAAACAGCCCTTAGCTTAAAACATGCCATATTATGATGAACCAATTTTATTTAAAAGTTTTCTTTGAAGATAGTTTGATGTTTTAAAAAGTCATAGATAAATGATTCCAGGGGAAGAATTAAGAATGTATGAAACTTAGGCAAATGAAAATAATATCCCAGTATTTTCATTCTAGATGAAAAATATGTATCAAGCATACATTATGAAAAACTTTGTCTCACATGCATGTTAAAGCCTGATTAGCCATCAGAAATTTTAAATAATCAAACAATAAATGTTTTAGTAAGTTACTGTTGTGTTCTCAAGAGGCAAAAAGTGCAGTGTTTTTATGTTTCTTTAATTTGAGATTTAATGCTTTTTACCACTCAGTCCAGCTTACTAGCGCCTCAGTGGAACTCAGTAAAACTGTAGCACTGTTACAATTATGTGATTTTGTGAAATACATCAGCACCACCATGCCTGTATCTATCACTGTACCTAGCAAAATGTTGGAAAGAGTTGGCTTCTCTAATAAAAGTATCCTAAGTAGCTAATGAGATTTACTTTCTTTTTCCCCAAAATAATTTCTTTTACAAATTCTTGAATTTTCATGTATAAATAGATCCGAAATTATATGCTTCATTCTTAAATTATGTATATATACTATATTTTCAATACAACTTGTACACTTTTAGCTACCAAAAATTTGCAACCATTTTTACATGAAATTTACAGTTTTCTTATTTACAGTTATTTGTGGAAGGTTATTGCAAAACTAGTTGTGCAAGTAGATTACACTGTCAATATCACATACCAATCTTTGAAGAAAATATTTGCTAAAAAATAAATATTTCTGCGCAGAGTATTTCAAAAGCATCATGATTTCATGCTACGCTATGTGCATAAAGACTAGGAAATATACGTGTTTTGGTAGATTGTTTCATTATGTTTAAAGCATTCCAAAGTACTACTACTTAACCAATGTGAGCGAGCTTCTTTATATCAGATGACTGACGTTTTCAAGTAATTACACACATTACTGTTTGAAATGTATTATTTTTTAACTGGCAAACATTCTGGTATACATATTCCTAACAAAATTATAGAACACAAATTTCAGCTAAAAATAGGTAATATGCCTTTAATTAAAATTGGCAGGTGCCTAGGAGATTAAAAACTAGGGATCCCCCAATATTTTTATCCTATTTCCTTAATATTTGGAAAAAAGAGTACCATATTATTTCAGTGCTATTGTAATTACAGGGCCATTTTGATGAGGCTCTTTGGAGGAGTTAATTATAAGATTACTGATCTTTGAATTTTACACCTAAATAACATAAGAATAATGGAATTGTGTGGAATTTTCTCAAATACTCAAACTATATTGTCAGTATTAACAAATACAGTTTAAATGTTAACAGTTGTGATTATTTGATTATTTTCAACTTAAAAACACCATTAATATACAGACAGTGGAAGTACAAAGAACATAGGTAAAACATATAGTACTTTAAAACCACAGCTGTGCTAAATTATTTTGTGTCTCTCAAAATATAAATGAACTAATGTAAGTCACAGATGTCATGACTGCAATTCAGTAATTCATCTGGGTTTTGATACTAGCTTTTCAAGAATAACCATGTTAATATTGCCACTTCTCAAAATAAAAATATTTTATTGGGAGCATTTCTGTATTCTTAAAAGTTGGATTATGATTGGAAGAAAAATGCAGTTGGTCAATTTTATGGTTCTGTGTTCTTAACATTGCATTCCTCGAGATGTGTTATTCTATTCATAGTAATAATGTGTCAGTTTTAAATAAATTTTAGACATCTCTCTCAACCCCCATTTAATAGTTTATATAAGCCTTGTAATAATTTCTTTTATGCTGTCAATTATTAATAGTTATTAATAATTTCATGTCTTTTGTGCATTGCATATTCTTAAAGTGTGTTTGTACCACAAGAGCATGTAATGAATTATTGTAAGCTTGGGCACTGATCGCTCACAATACCTAATGCTTTATAAAGCATTTAAAAACAATCCATTTAGTTTTTAAAAGGTTGACATCACTGCATAGTAAGTTAACGAGAGCCACAAGAAAAACACCTTTAAATGAAAACAGGTGAGAGGGAGAAGGGGAAGCTATTGCATACCTAGAAAACAATTGCAATGTAAATGTAATTTTATGGATCTTGGACAAATGTAATATTTGACAAATATTGGGGTGCTATGGCAGAGGAAGCTTCCCTAATGCTGGCGTTCTCCTCTGATCAGATGCATCTTTGAGAGTTGTGTGAGAAACACCTTATAGATTTTTGTCATAAAGGTTAAATGCAGGCAGTGTCAGGCAGGGGAAAGAGCACTGAAAGGTTTTTAGAAGACATAAGTAGTGCTACTGCACTGGTACCACATGACCACCACCTTTGTGATGATGCATAAGTCACACGATGATCTTATAGTTTTACGGTGCCTTGTGGTTTACAAAGCACTTCCACGAATATATTTCAGAGACCCCTCAACACCCCTTCAAGATATTTAAGATGTTGTCTCATTTTCATAGTTTTGGATACTGGGGCTCACTGAGGGTCTGTCTTGACAGTGAGTAGAGGAGGTAGGATCTGAATTCAGGCTTACCACACTGAGTCTCTTGCCGTTGCTACCACTGCACACTAGAGCTTAGGCAGGCTACGTCTGTGTAATGTCTGTGCCATGAGGGAGTGGGCTTAGATGCCTGAAAAGAGCCATTACAACTGTGAAATTCTATTTTCTGAAAAAACGCTATTTTCTTCCAAAATTGTACTTTGAAAATTATTTTTAAATATCCATTTGGGAACTATCATGGATGTAAAGAGGCTTCCTTAGTGAGCCAGTCTTCACGGAATACATTCTAGTCATACTGAATTCAACAGATCATCTTTGCACACTTGGCATTTAACATCACTTCAGAGTAGATACGTTTGTAAAGATGAGATTCATAGTCTCACAATTATTATTGTGAATAGTATTACTTTAAAGCTATAAACCTAATAGTGCAAAATACAATTAGGAGAGAGACACCAATAGCTACACTTGA